CTTAACAATGTGTTAATGTATACATGATTTGCCTCAATGTTCAAATAGATTCATAAGTTAAATTCTTACTCCACAGTGAATGTGTATTTTTCATAGAATCAGTTTTATCAGCGAAAAAAAATCGAGTAATTAATTTTAAGATATGTATTACAATTTTTTAAATTATTTCATAAGTCGGTGTAGTATTCAACAATTTTAATTAGGTCACTAAATATTTTATATAAATGTATTAACGAACTTATATTTATTTTTAATGTTGTCAAAAATTAAATAGTTACAATGGTTTGATACGTAATGAGATTTCCTTTTCTTTAAATGTCAATATTTTCAGAAGCTTTGAAACCAGTTTTTTCAATTAGTTTCTTTAATTATGTTTTTCAATCACTGTTTTCACTCAATTTAGATACACTTTTACAATTTCTTTTAGACTTCACTCACACCATTCGAATTGAAAACTCATACCATTGGCTTTGTAAAAAAACCAATAAAAAAGACTAGTTAAAAATAATAATTAAGATAATAAAAAATTATGAAGTAATTTAGAACATAAACCATGTTTTTACCTAAAAATTTAGGACCATGTTTTTTCTAGTTTTGGTAGCACACCGCATAATTTGGATCACATTAAAATAAGGTACGTGTAACTGTCTTGCAGGATACACTAACAAACAAGCAGAGCCACGAACAGAACCAGAATCCACACTACCACCAGTTCGGCGAACGCATAAGGTGAATTCTTTGCTTCTTTATCGTTTTCTAAATATTGTGTATCGATCTGATCTTCAGGTGAGAGATGTTCGTCCTTAGCAGCACCCTAGTACCATTTTATATTATTTCCATTTTCTTAACACCTACTTTATCGTATCCTCTTTTTTTTCTTCTTCTTTGCTCCGAACTTACTATGTATTTTGAGAGTTAATGTCTTGTAACTGTCGTTTTTTTGTGAGTTTAACCACTCTTCATTGTCTTCAGAGTTAAGTTTTACATTGTGTGCCTTACAGTGTAAAGGGTATACGTAATCTGTAAGAAATGAAGAGAGCGTGAAATGTGAAGATGTACAAGTAATCTAAAATTAACAATGGTTTAATTTAATATAATTTATAATTTCCAACTGGTATTGAACGATGTCTTTGCGTTGCAAAGGGTGTAAGGGTGAATATGAAAGGTAAATGAAGTGTTTAGATGCAGGACTAATCTAAATTAATTCAGTTTCGTGTGATTTTCAAATGGTATAGACTTGTGTGTGCTCTTATGTTTGTTGTGGTTTTTATTAGCTTTTTACTTTGTTTTATTATGTTTTGTTGTGTCATGCTCACTGGGGTCAGATCTCAATTTTTTATTGCAATTAAAAAATTGTATTGTTTAACTTTTATAGCCGACAGAGTTCTTAATTAAAAAATAATAATAATGAAGTGTTGGAAAATGTGGTTGAGAAGAAAAAATAATTGGGAGAAAAAGGAAAGAAAAAACTACTATCTTGAGCTAAAAGTGAGAACGTGCATGGAAATAGTATATGAGGGAAGTTAAGTTTATATGTGCAACATGACATAATAGAATACTGCAAGCGCGTAACTACCCTAACAATTGATATGAACTTGCTAACAAATTGAGCTATAACTGTGAGTTAACCACTACGTATGGTAATTAACTGTTTAACAAGAGTGGCTATAAAAGGAATTCCACAATTCAATGAAGAAACCACAATTAAGGATCTCCCAGAATTCACTTTGGTTCCCTCGGTTTAGTTTGCTTAATCACATAAGGTAACTTACTATTGTTGGTTTTGGCGCTGTAGTTATTCGGAACGAAGATGAATAACTATCGCTACTAGAAATTGGTACTGGCCATTGTTCAATTGTTCATTGTTAATTCTTTATCTCTTTTCTATATATAGTGAACAGTATGAGTGAGGTTTTCGAAAAAGCTGCCTCTAACGGTCATGAGAAAATGGTGATTTCCAAAGAACATCAGGCAAAGGTATGTCCAATTATTTTTACACTCCTTGAATCAAAGATACATATTACTGTTGTTGCATGTGAAAATACCAGTGTACAATGTTTTGAGTAAGGAATGTAGCCTATAATAATTTGCTCTTCCAGATTACTGAGGTGAGAAGGTTGATAGGGCCATTATCAGCTTAAGGAATCTCTGTACTGTTCTGATGCAATCCATCACAAGGTATTTAGTTCACCGAATTGGAATGTCATCAAGGCAGCTCAAATGTTGAAGCAGAGTCTAAAATGGAGAAAAGAATACAAACCTGAACAGATTCGCTGGGTATGTTACTAATTGTCTTCACTTTTTTAATGAATATTTTAAGAGAAAATGCATGTCGGGGATGATCCCCTTATAAAACTGGGGTAAACGAGATTTGTTTTCCATAGATGGTTGAAAGTCTCACATCGACCTAGAGATTAAGTTTCACATTATAATATATAGTTGGTGCAAACCTTACTATGCAAGCGATTTTGGGGATTTGAGTTAGACTTGATATACCCATCCTCTACTTACTCTTTTTACTCCTGTTTCCTAATCGTTATTTGCGGTATCGAGCCATTGTGGGAGCGCTTTTTATAAACTAGCTGGAATGTTTTCTAATGTGTTCTTAAGATTGATGTCTGTTTCATTATTGTCTCACATGGAATGTGTGAGCTAGACATGCTTTTGTCTATTGTCGATTTTCACGCATTGTGACATTTTGTTTTGTAAAATTATATTTGCATGGATTTTTCCTTAATACAGGAAGAGGTTGCTGATGAAGCAAAGACAGGGTTGATGTATAAACCAAATTATCATGACAAATATGGGAGATCAGTGCTTGTAATGAGACCTTGTCTCCAGGTTTCTTCTGAGAATCACTTTCAGTCTCTATCTTGTTTATTTTGATAAGGATGAGATCCTATAAAAGTAAGACTCGGCCCTTGGAATGACTAAATGAAAGAATGAGAAAAAGGGATGTATTATATATATATATATTATATTCTATATATATATATATATATATATGTATATATCATGACCAGCTACCTTGTTTTTCATTTTAACCATATAAAAACACTGTCGAATGGATTTGTTTTACAGTATCTTGTTATAGTTTGATCTTCTTAAATTTCGTTTCCTAGTTTTCTGGTATATGCTATATTTTGATTAGTTTAAGCCTTTGCAATCAAGAAACTTTGGGAAACCACAACAAGGTTAATTAGCAATGGTTCTAGAGTAAGTAATCCATTTTTCATTTCTAATTTCATTTGCCGTCACTCTTGAACTGCAGAATTCCAAGTCAACACAAGGACAGATTAAGCATTTTGTGTACTGCATGGAGAGCGCCATTTTAAATCTTGCACCAAACCAGGAACAGGTGGTCTGGTTGGTAGATTTCCAGGGTTTCAGGTTATCAAATATATCAGTCAAGGTTGCTCGCGAAACTGCCCATGTGGTGCAAGAGTATTACCCAAAGCGTCTGGGCTTGGCAATACTGTACAATGCACCCATGATCTTCCAACCATTTTTCTCGGTAACTAAATAGAAAACTTTTCAGTGTAGCAATTCTGTATAGTGTTTTATATGCACGCTGCTTTGGTATATATGATATGTCTGCGTCCACTTGGTGAAAGTGTTAAATGAAGAGTGACTATATTACGACTTTGGATGACCCAAGGGGCATTGTCATCTTTTCTCTTAACTGGATGCTTTTTTTTTTTGCTGCTGTTCCGTAGAAGATTTTATTTGTGTGCGTGTACGTGTTTATATTGTTGATTTTTAAGTTGTGATGTTACCTGCTATTGAGAGTGATTATGTGTATATTATGGATTTTAAATTGTGATTTTAGCCGCTATTTAAGAGTGAATATGTGTGTATATTGTTGATTTTTAAATTGTGATGTTAGCTGCTATTTAAGAGTGATTATGAATCTAGTGCTATTTTGTAACGTGAGAGTGAATTGTTGCAGATGGTAAAGCCCTTTTTAGAGACTGAGACTCATAACAAAATAAAGTTTGGCTACTCAAACGACCACAGTACAAAGAAGATTATGGAGGATTTGTTTGATCAGAGTATTCTTGAATCTGCATTTGGGGGGAAAGGAGAAACAGGAGTTGACATTAATAAATATGCTGAGAGAATGAAAGAGGATGACAGTAAGAAACTTTCTTTCTGGACACCGGTCAAGTCTCTGTCATCAGTTTCACACAATGCCCCCTTAGATTCAATCAGGTTAGATGCAGATTCTGATGCTTCCAACAATGAGAAAATTCTTGTTCCTAACTGATCAATACATCTTGGTGTCTTGAAAATTCGATCGCATTGGGATGAAAAATTACATACGTAATCAGTGTTGAGTCAATTGTAATGCAGCAGGACACTATGACCCTATAGTTTGAAGCCTAATTCAAGAAATTATGTTCAACTTTATGTATGATTAATATGGTAACAACATTGCCCAGTGGCTTGAAGCTTGTGAGCTTCGACATTGGCAAGAAATTCATATCAGCTTCTTATGTGATTGACAATATTTTACATCGCAAGCAGGAACAAATTTAAGTATTTTTAATAAACTAGAAATAAAAACCTAGTATTATTACGACTTGTATGAACTTTAATTTTTTAATCTTCATTGTATATGGAGGGAGGGAGAAAATGAGATGTACAAGAGTAGTCAAGAATAAGTAGGAATTTAACAAAACATTCAGAATATCCAGCAAAATTCACAATAGAACTGATTTACAATTAAATAAGGACCTGAAAGTGTCTTAAGAAGCATCATCAACAGTCTCATGAAAACCTTTTGAAATAAGTATACATAAAAATGAGAGTTCATCTCTACGTATATCTATAATATATATATATATATATCTATATATTATATTTATAATATATAATATATATATATATATATATAGGAATATATATATATATATATATATATATATATATATCTCTAATTATATCTATATATATCTATATATATATATATATATATATATATATATATATTGATTCAAAACTGTACTACTAACACATTGAAAACAACCTAGCTTTAGGACAACTGGAAATATTGTTGACCTAACAGAGCCACCGAAAATATGTCCCCCTTTGTGATTCAACTGTGACATTTCTGATTAAATGTGTGTATGTATTTCCTGAAACAGCGAGAAATAATGGAATGTAGCATATTAAGATTAAGAATATGATAGTATCATAAGAAGATGAAAAAAAATACTCAATGAGTTCTTACCTAAACAATATATCATTGGAACATGTCATCCAACTTCTGCTTGTAAAGAGCCAAACGCTGTCAACAAGTAAAGGTGTCAGTGCCTTTCCAAATTAGTTCAAAAGAAGATTTAAAGGACCGGAATTTCAACATCATAACAAGCATCGATCCAAGTAGCAGATGATGGATTACTAATAACAGATCAGAGCGGCCAGAAAGTGCCAACTCAGTCTGTATACATTAATTTTCATCCGCAGTACAAGTCAGAAATTTGAGGAACGAATGCCACTTTTTCTGGCATCAAGACCAGCCTAAAATTAACATATAATTGAGTTTGTTCTCAGAAACTATTACTGATTCATTTCATTTACTATTACGTGTCGCCCATGCTAATCAACCAGACTAGTTGAAACCAAAGGAAAGATTTTAATGAAGAAATCAGCAAGTCAAGGTGCAACAGTTTTCTATCAGGTTTAGATTTTTTGAATTTTCATTAGTCATGGAACTTGCACAACTTGAAGCTTACAGTCTCTCCCAGGAGGGGCACAATGAAGCTTTCATAGTTCACAATAAGAACAACGTATCACTAACACTCATAAGGAATAACATAGCATACACATGACGAATAATTTCACAAGCAAAACCATTTGATGATCTATTTATAGATGACTTCAAGTGCCATAGCAACCTTCCAGAAAACAATGTTAACCCTTAAAAAATGTATCATTTCATTAAAAAAAGAAAAAAATACATCTTAAATAAAAGCTGATATAAAACGCATCCTAAAAGTAGGATACAACAGCTGACATAAAAAGCATACCTTTGTATAGGCATAAACTCCAGCTTCAGAAGGCCTTGTGGGACTTCCCCTCCTAATGAATCTTCCCTCTTTGAAAATGTAAAGCATGGGAATTCCAGTTGACAGTTCCAAACTAATGACCTGGTGGTGAAAGAGAAAAAAAATGAGTATGTACTGTCATATGCAAACTTAAGAGAATAATTTTGAATCCCAGCTACCTCTTTGGGAAGTTAATTTTTCAAGGTACATGATAATGGATCTCATGAATTCCCATGGCTGAAATCATGACATTCTTTCCAGATAAAAGTTGTGGTTCAATCTGCAGAATTGATGTCAATGGAATCAGTTGCTTGTAAATGTTCCATGCCTGTCCTTCAACCATACCAGAAATTTGGCCCATACAGCATAAATCAAGCTACATAAATGCTCCTCTCCAGCATATAATAGGCTATAAACTACATTAGTCCCGTAAAACATCAAACATATAACACATGTAAGTGGACTAAAACCGAGCTACTGAGTTGAGAGGAACATCAAGTTGAAACATTCACCATGTTTGTCTGGAAAACTTAAACATCAAATACATAGGAAAATGGGGAGGGGAGGGGTGTAATTTACAAATCAGATTCTTTTAAAAAAATTATACAAAAACTATATTTCCACTTACTTGGTCTCTGAAATAGGCAACTGCTCTTTGGGCACACATTTCCAAGCTTTCACCATTTGGAGGAGGTATGTCATAACTCCGGCGCCACTCATGGACTTTCTCTTTTCCATATCTGTCGGCTGTCTCTTGCTTATTGAGACCTTGCAGTTCCCCATACCTGAAAGGATAACAATTATGGTATGACAACAATAATATGTTAATGTTATTTGTGACATTGTAAAGCAGAAGTTTTAAACAGAGGAAACAGGAAAAAGATTACTACATTCTTTCATTTAGTTGCCAAGCTGCTATGACTGGAATGGACTGTTTTTTTGTATCTTCACTAAAAACTTGACTCCACGACCTTGCTCGTTCACTTTCATTGTGCACCTAATAGGGAACCTACTGGGAAGTTGACGGTTAATATTTAGAAAACAACGTTTCAAAACTTTACTGCAGTAGGTAAAAACATTTCTTCAAATTGTCTAGACTAGAGTTTAGTGCACTGTTATGTACATAATTAGCACCAAGCAAAACCGGTGAATTTTTCTATGAACCAATTTTTTGGTTTGTGGTGTCTGTCTAAATAGATCAAAACTCCTGTATTTTCAGCTAAGCACTAGTTATTTGGATATGGTATGCTTACTAGTATGCCGTAAGCTTTGAAAAGAAAAAATAGCTACATATTCATTTGCGTTACCTTCCCACGACGGTGCTGGGTCATAGCAAGCATGGCTGTCATTTGTGCACGAATCAAAGCCGATGTAAATATGACATCAACAGGAATGCTGCTAATTCTTTTTCCAGCTTCAATTGCTTCATCTATACCCTTCTTGCTCAGAGGGACATCAACACACCCTGTGAATAAGTTCTTTTCATTCCATAATGACTCGCCATGCCGAATAAGGATTAAAGCTGCTTCATCTGAAGTCAAACATATTGAACAGCAATAAGACAACATCCAACTAACAACTTAAATTTCTTGACATGTTGCCACCGACCTCAAGGTTGTGGTGGGACGAGGTTCAACTTAAGGAAGCAATTTTAAAGACGCCGTCCCGTAATCAATATAATTAAACCAGAGTGTTTTTCATCTTGACGGTTGGTTTTCTTGTTTTACTCATCTACGTCTGCG